TAGTATGGCACCCTTATAAAAGGACCCTAGAAGGGACCCTAATTTATAGAGAAATGCAGGTCTCAGTGTCGTCGAAAGATCTAACGGGTGTTTTTCCTTCCAAGCGCTACCCTGCCCGTCGGGCAAGGCTTTTTGCTTTGGAAGCAGCTATGGACAATCAACGTCCGCTTGCTTTGCTGGCTCACGACGAAATACCGCAGCCACCGTGAAAGCAGTGGCAATCATGCCGGTTTCACCAAATGGAATGCCGGAATCGCGAAAGCCCCCGACCTTAAACTGTGCACCGTAGATTGCGCAAACCTTAACCAATAACTGACAACTGCTATGTCGCGCCCGGAAGATCTGGGGAGATAGACCAGCGATTTCGGTTTTGGCCCGCCAAGCGAAAGTGGAAGTGGAAATGCGCCAAAGCACACATACGAGAATGGTCAGATCCTCCTTACATGCAGTACGCGACCTACCACAAAAGTCTACTCCAAAGCATTTAGGGCCCCAATTTTGCTTCAGTACACCTCCTTAAAGCTCAGAACACCTTGCACTACGAGTCGAAGTTGGGAGCTCACGGCGATGAATCGATTTAGGGGTTTGGAGTCTAGAGTGATTGGGTTTAGTTTTTGGGGATTTTGGAGTTTGGGGTCTTGGGTGTGGGGCGCGTGCGTTGGGCACCACTTGCACTTTGTCCGAAACCCTCTGTACTGCGCACAACTGACGCAAAAAATTGTCGCCTGCGCCTGCTTTGCCGGTGTGTCTTTGCAGTAGGGGCCCGCGTGATTGGTAATGCTACCCTTCATCGTCTTTATGCAGATTCTAGTCCTAGAAACCTACCCTGCTTGTTCAGGGCGGCTGTTCGTGAGCTTCAGGGCAGTAAGTTTCAGACTTGGGGGCTCTTTCGCTTTCGTTTTCTTTAGCGCGGCAATCGGGCCGAAGGCTTAGGGCTTCATTACTTCGGGGCCCTAAGACCACACATCTAAACACCCGGAGACCTTGAAACCCAAGCCCTACAAGGCTCTACGTTTGAGGGGGTCTCGAGGGAATACTTTTGGAGGCGGTCGGTCTAGCAATGGGCCGGGAGCGAAAAGGAAGACCACGGGACCAGTTCGATTTTAAAGTTTGGGTGTAGCGTTTCGAGGAAGAGCTTGAGTAGAATCTCAGGAAATCAAGGTGATAACTTCGACTCTTCGCCCATGCCCTAGATGACTACCCTAAACCCGAAATCCGATTACTGCTTTCACCACGAACCCTGACGCTGCAGTTGAAATGCAGCTGGTGGAGAGGTCTGTGGGAAAAACTTGACGGTCTTGCAATCTTGCTCAG